CTGATGGAAAAGTTGTTCAGCAACCGAAGAGGAAGCTGCAGCAGCAGCAGCAGCACCTGAAAGTTCGACCTTTCCCGGATGCTACAGCCAATCAGCAGTCCGTGTTACAAGTCAGCGTACGCGTGAATAACATTCACTTGACCATGCCGCTGCATTCAGCTGCAGTCACGGAACTAACCATCTTGCTACTGACCATCCATGCAAAACTGTCACGCCAAGCCTCTTCATCACTTTCCATTGGATAGGCCAAATTGTTTATCTAAGCAGGTTCCAGGTCCTTAAAGGGTCCATTTCAGCCGCGGCACCTCCAATAACTTTTGCCTGTGAACCGACTTGGCAGAGGGAGTGCCTCCCAGACTCGAAAATTGACATCTCCCTACAACGATCCAGTCGAGGGTTACAAATTTGTACTAGACTGTGGGCGATGCCACATTTGATAGTGGATAACGCTTTTCATGTCGTGGTATTAAGGTGGTTTGTAGTCTCTTCATAGGCATTTGACCGGCCGGATCGGCGATCAGGCACACCTGATGGATTTTTTACTTTCCGACCCACGATACAGACGTCTGCTTATTCCTAAGCTAACCGTCATTGAGGGCTGATAGAACATGAGCTTTCTGTGGACGCAAAGTTTAAGTCTCAGGTGATTTAAAATCTGGGGTTGGGGGTGGATTGCTGATGACGGCTACTAAGTCAGAAATGGCTAGTCCAGTCTTCCCGGTCTTTGTCGGTAATGTTTTGGACGTAGGACAGTCCACTGTCATTCCGACGGTAGGCGCGGTTTTTCCAGGGGGTGAAATCGCTCCCAAAACGAGTCTGCTATCTCATAAAAATGTGTAGTCCCACCCGCTGAACATTTCAATCACCAGAAACCATGCTTTCCTACCGCCATCGTTGCTGTTGGCTTACAAATTACCAGGCCTGGATTGACGGACAGTGAAAAAAGGTATTTTTACGCAGACTCTTTTTGCTGACAACACCATATGTAAGCCAAGACCAGCAACCAACGACGTTTTTTAGGATAATAAATAGAGAAAGAATCAGAAGGCGAAGATGCGATCGCTGGAACAAGAAGTTTAATGGTCTTATGTGCCAGATTCTCGCTCGAACTCATTATCATCAGAGGTAATCGCAGTGAGCCCAATTGCCGCATCATTATCACGCCAATATCCAACAAAGATGATAATATTGCGGCCAAAGAGCGATTCGGACGCGCACTGCCAAGCCATCCTCGCATCAATTACTACCCGCATTGGTGATCATGAAAGCTGTTACGTTTAGTACGGAGGTGGTCGCGTGCCCACTGCTAACTAATTTAGCGTCCGGGCTGAAGGGAGGTGGCTGACTGAATTTAGGGTTCTGGTTTCCAGTCACTACACCATCAGGTCGGATGGGATTTGAACGACAAGGCTCAGATCGGACTCACAGGTCTATCTGGTTGATATGAAATCGGGTATCGGGGCTCAAGCTCACAATTCTGAGGGGAAGTCCTGTTCTGAAAGGGCGGAGTGGAGGCTACTGCCTCGCACAGTAACTGGGTAAGGTCAGTCCTAACGGATTCTACAGGTCGCCAATTAGGACGTGACAGGAAAGAAGAGGTATGGATATCAAGGGGCAATTTATTGATAAGCGGACGATAGCTGAACTGATGAAATGCTAAAGTGAGTTACAAAAGAATGAAAACGATACTGGGTAGGTGTGACAAACCTTCGCAGACTACTGTATACCAAAAATATCAGAACTTAAAACTAGCTCGGTACAAAAATCGAAAAATAGAAAATTGGTAGGATATTAAAGGAGATTGTTGCGGACAGTACGAAAGGAGAAGAAGGAATGTCATAAACGGTACGGAAAAATCAGTTGACGAGCCGCGATGGCGTGGGAACACGCAGAGTTCTGAAATTCGAGAACACCAGAAAAACATCGATTAGGGCCGGGTTGGGTCGTTACATTATAAATACTGCATACCTTTTCTCTTTATCACCCTTATCTGTGATTGGCTCTGGTGGTGGGTTTGAAAGGGAATCCAAATCGTCGGGCCAATCAGCTTCTTGTTTCAGCATCTTCTCCTTCTGAACTGCCTCCTGGACATCGCCTGTTCGCTTCTATCAGATGGAGAATCCTAATTTAACGTCGCAATGTAGTGTTGCCCCAAAAGCAGACTGCGTGCGGACTGCAAATTCTTCCCTAGGTGATTATCAGGTCAACCAACCGACCGACCTTGGTAGCACACGCCTTAAACAAAATTATGACTCATACTTGGGAGTGACGTTTATAAACATGGCCCGGCCCTCGTAGGACGAACTGCAGGTGACCTCGCGTTGCCTCGGAATTCCAGACCACACAAAGGGCCCTGAAACCTGGTTGCAATCGCGTTCGGGTATTCACTACGCGTAATAACCGCGTCTCCAGTTCGCGAGAAAGTGAAGTATATCACAGGGACGGGGAAAGACGGCAATGCATCAGCCGACGCATATTTGACCATGAATTGATAGCAGGGCATCCAGACCTTGACAGTCTTGAATACATGGCTATTCTAACGCGTAGTTTGGCTTGATTAGGAGAAGGAACTAGCGCATGCGTTTTTGGTGTGGTTCAAACGAATAATGCAGGTCGAATGCCGGGTCAGCTACTGGAAGTGCTGCCATTTCCCGTCATCTCGGCTCATTCATGCCAACGAAATCGATTGGAAATTCGAGAGGAGAATTCAGGCCGGTCTTGGACAATTCTTAGTCTCTGGGGTGCAAATCTCGCGCAGGACATTACTGTCCCTTAAAGCCGTAGTGATTTTGTCGGAGATGACTAGAACAAAAACGGATCTACACCTTGATAGGTTGTACGATGAGGAGATTGGCTCTGGGGGATTCATTTGCAGGCCCGCTGAAAATTTGTAACGTTTAACAACTCTCCACACGTTATCTCCTAGTAACTAATCTAACAGGCAAAACAATAAAACGAAGTTATCAGCTGAAGGAAATACAACTTATACTTTCCCAGTCAGAATATGTAAAATACGCTTATAATACTACATGACGATGCACAGGATTTAGTTTGAATCGCCCGCTCCTCGATATTACACATATTTTTCCCCAAACCAATAATTTTTGAAACTTTGGCAATTTAAGAATTAGTCGTTGCAGTGAGTTCAACTGGCGCATGTATTCTGTCCCCTTAGAAGAAAACTGAACTGTCACTTGCAAAAAATTACGTAAGTATTTTTATAATACTGCTTATCGTGCAAACTAATCCATCGATATTTCAGTCACGTCAGGATGCCGGCTTTTGAACAAGATTCCTTCTGATCGTCTGTAGAAAGCATAAGTTGTAAAACACAGTTAATCAAGTAGTATGAATTATTCTCATTCATTTTCGATGCCCTCGTAAATTCAAATACATTTGATAGGAAACACACACAAAATACGGGCTCGGTAACAGTTTACCTGTTCTTCGATTTTAAAAACGTTCTAATCAGGAGAGTTGGAAGGCTGTGAACTGTTCATTCATTATCCGACTTATCCGTCAACTTGCTAATGTTGACGATACCATATAGGACATGATTCAAATTCCTTACAAAATCGCATGAGAACTGTGTGACCTTTTCCTCATAGCGTAGAAATATGTGTGATTTTCCGTACGCAGAATGGATGGGGCATATGATTTAGGAGCCCAGAATCAAAGTCTTACGTGTTAACAATTATTCGGGGAATTTAAAAAAAAATTTCTTTTAAAAAACATTAATATACCCTTTCCTCAAGTAAACAATATGAAGAAGACAACATTTTCTACCAAATGAGGACAAGAAATACTATTTTTCATCGTTTTCTATAAAATTTATTATAGGAAAATCTAAAATCCCTGAAAAATGTATATTACTTCAGTGAATATTTTTTAAAGCGTGTGACTTTTACAGGTGATCAGAAAAAAGCTTGTCCAAAACCTGGCGTCCTAACATGACTGAGTTATCTACGGATTATGTTGCGTGATAATCAGTATTGTAAACTGACTAAAGTAATTTGTTGGAATCGATACTTCAGGTTTCTTCAGGTTAGTGTTAAGGATGATAGAGTTAGCGCTAAGCTTATAGTTGGGGTTAGGGTTAAAATTGGGACACGGGAAAGGATACCGCAACTGGAATTTAGGATAGGGTCCCGCGTAATATGAGAGCAACTTATAATTGTGTCCATCCCACTGATCGAGGATCATTATAACTCATTTACTGCTATCCAAATTAAGGAGACAAGGTGAAAGATTCACGTGTTCGAGTACTGACTATCAAATCCGATAGTGGATGATTATAATATTTATTTGCTGGCTTGTTTTCATCAGTATTTTCAACGGTATCAGTTTCAGTAAATTATCTCCGCAGCCTCACAAGTGTCGTATTAAAGACTAGGCATAGTTATCCGAGCAGTTAGGCGTGTTTAGGATAACCTTTTTCCTACCTCAGGGTTTTTATATGCATGACGTTGACAGAGTGGCTGCCATCACATAACCGTTTACAAACACTGGACTAACAGAGAGTTTACTAGATAGAGAAGTAGAAGGCACTGCGATCACCGGAATCATACTTTTACTTGTCTGAGCTTTCGGGCTCTTTCTGGAGTCCATCGTCAGAGATAGAAGGCGTAAACGAAAGACGCGCAACAGGGAGTTTACTCACACCGATATTCATAGCTGAAAACCCGTAATATTTATCGGGGGTTAGCTTTCAATGTACACACGACATTTTCTGCCAATAATTGTGGCACAGAAAAGGTTAGACGTACGCCGCAGCGTCAGCGTCTTTTTTAACAGAATTCCTCCTCACCCACGCTTGCTTTCTTTTCTGTTCAGGGATGTGTAGTGTTTTCCTAAATTGTCTCAGAATATCTCGCTGCGGAAGTGGTGCCTACTTTACTGCAGTTTATTCAAGCATAATTTAATTGTGGGAGTTTCTGAGCCCGCTCTGCTTTTCATGTTCCCTTCAGTGTGGAAGCTGGATAAAAGTTCGAATTCAACGCATGGAACCGGACCTTTACAACATTGGCAAGAGTGCAGCCGAAGCAGAATACCTGAAGGAGATCCACACCACGCTGGTGAGAAAACTGGCCGAAAAACAAACCCAGATCTCGGAACTGCTCTCGCGGGCCGAGGAGCTAGTCTCCCAACAGCCGACAGAAGGCCAAGCTATGGTCTACTCGGCAATGTCCAGTTCTCTCAATAAAGCCTGGCGTGAGTTGCTCGAAGTCCTTGGCAAACGTGGACACCTGCTGGAGATGGCTGCAGACTGCTTTGTGAACGCTGACGCCGTTTGCGCCGCAGCCCGTCGAATCACCGATCCCTCATTTTCAGCAGACTGGGGAGACAGCGTGGAGAGCATAGAAAGACTCATTCAGGTATTTTTTACCCTTTTTTCTCCGCGTACAAGTGCGGTAACGTTCGTAGAACAAACTCTTACAGGACCAACCCAGAAGTTTCTATGCATATCACCTTGAATTCCACTAGTTTGGACGTTAAATTTGACAGGATTCCGATGAACAAACAGTAGCCTTTAAATCTGCGCTGGGAACAGATTACCGTGTTCTCGGCAAGGGTCCTGACACGGCTGCAAACGACTTGTTCAGTAGGCCGAGTGAAGGCAATGAATTGAAGCTGACTTTCGGTAAACAGAATTTTGGAATCTTTCGCGAAATTCAGCTAAATATAGCGGTTAAATGATACTTATGTTTAGAATGATGCGTATGTTGATGGTGGGGAGCTCACCGATCTAGTTAGGGAACATTTTATCTCCCGTTGCGTCCTATAGCTCACCACAGGGCCTTCGCAGGTAGTTGCATAGCGACTTGTAGAATATGATGAAATGGAACCGACGAAGACAGAAGTGACCGGAATGGTCATTCCTGGTTTATTAGGCCTCATCAGCCAGTCATACCCTATCCCAGATGTGGCGATCCCCAAGATTAGAACCCATATATATATACAAAACGGTCGAATCCTTTGCTAGGCATGGCTACTTATTTAATTTGCTCCATGCACCACCCATAGTATGGCGACGACTTGGAGGACCAACCTCGAAAATATGCACGGGAAAATAACTTTATATCTACCTAAATCGATAAATCTATTAACAATGATAGCGGAGCACTGACTGATCGCGTTATGGAGCAAACCCGTCCATTTTTTATCTTGGGACCCACCATTAGGCCCCCCTGATGAACTGCGGTTCGATGAAGTGCTTATGACCCATCTGATAGACA